AATTCAACAACAGCAACAACAACAACAACAACAACAAAAAGAAACATCAACTGCATGAAAATCATCCATATGATCATCATCGCCATCATCAACATCTGCATGATCAGCATCATCCTCATCAACAATATCAGCACCATCATCAGCAGCATCGTCATCAGCAGCATCGTGATCAGCATCATCATCATCAGCAGCATCATCATTAGCATCAGTATCAGCATCAGTATCAGAATCACCATCATCACCAGCAGCATTATCATCATCAGCATCATCATCAGCATCATCGCCATCATCATCATCAGCAGCATCAGCATCACTATCATCATCAGAATCATCATCAGCATCATCATCAGCGGAATCAAAATCAATGTATCATAATCAGCATCAGCATCGCAATCACTTTCATCACCATTACCGACAACATCATCATCACCATCAACATAAAAAATCAGCAGCATCGACATCATCAATCTAATCCTCATCGCAATCCTCAACATCAGCATGATCAGCATCACCCTCATCAACAATATCAGCACCATCATCAGCAGCATCGTCATCTGCAGCATCGGCATCATCATCAGCATCAGTATCATCATCATCAGCAGCAGCATCGCCATCATCATCATCATCAGCAGCAGCAGCATCATCAGTATCATAATCATCAGCATCATCCTCATCATCATCATCAGCATCAGCATCACCATCATCATCTTCATCGTCATGATCATCATCATCGCCATCATCGTCATCACAGTCACCATCACTCAGCACAGGCAAGGAAGCCCAGCGAGGCTCTGAACATGTTCCCCACAGCGCCCCTTGCGGGGCCACCTCATGTTCCCCGTGGCGCCCTGCACAGGCGCCTCCATATCCAGCGCCTTCGGCTGGCGCCATCAGCTCTCGCCTTTTCTTTCTGGAGTTGGGAACCTGAGATGTTCCATCCAACGTTGTGATTTTTCCCATCCGCCGCGCTTCCTCACCGAGTCAGCGCACGTTGCACGCCCCGGTTGCGAGTCATGGCAAGCTTACTCACAGCCATGCTCCAGGTTCGCCGTCAGCCGCCTCGAATCGAGTCATAAGCTTCTTCATCATCATCAGCAGCATAATCATCATCGTCATCATCATCATCATCATCACCATCATCAGAATCATCAATATCCTTATCATCATCGTCATCATCAGCCTCATCATCCTCATCATCAACACCACCACCACCACCACCATCATCATCATCATCATCATCATCATCATCATCAGTATCATCATCATAGTCTTACGCCTGCTCCCACTCCTCGTCCTCCTCTCCCTCCCGCCCTCCCACCCGCATCCCTCGCTGTCGTCCTCCTCCTCCTCATGCTCCTCTGACTCTCCATCCTTCTCTCCCCCGCCCCGCTGCAGCATCAGCAGCATCATCATCATCCATCAGCATCAGCACCATCATCGTCATCAGCATCATCATCAGCATTATCATCATCATCAGCAGCAGCATCAGCATCATAACATCAGCATCATCAGCATCATCGTCAGCAGCATCGTCATCATCAGCATCAATATCATCAGCATCATCAGCATCATCAGCATCATCAGCATCATCGTCATCATCATCATCATCAGCATCATCATCGCAAGCATCGTCATTATCGTCGTCAGCATCATCAACATCAGCATCATCGTCGTCATCATCATCGTCATCATCGTAATCGTCATCATCACCATCAGCATCATAATCATCATCGTAATCATCATCATCATCATCATCAGCATCATCATCGTCAGCATCATCTTCGTCATGATCATCATCATCACAAGCAGCAGTATCATCATCAGCACCATCAACATCACCAGCATCATCATCATCATCATCAGCATCATCGTCATCAGCACCATCATCGCCATCACCAGCATCAGCATCAGCATCAGCAGCAGCATCAGCGGTATCATCCGCATCAGCAGCATCAGGATCATCACAACCATCAGCATCAGCGCATCAGCATCATCATCAGCATCATCAGCATCATCATGATCAGCAGCATCAGCATCATCATCATCAGCAGCATCATCATCATCGGCATCATCGTCGTCATCATCGTCAGCATCGTCATTATCATCACCATGAGCATCATAACCATTATTACCATCATCAGCATCATCAGCATTAGCATCATTAACATCAGCATCATCGTCATCACCATCATCATCAACATCATCAACAACATCATCATCAACATCATCATCATCATAATCATCATCATCGTCGTAGTCACAGTCATCACCATCATCGTCAGCATGATCATCATCACCACCATCATCATCATCAACAGCATCATCGCCATCATCATCATCATCATCATCATCATCATTATCTTCCGTCCTCCATCCTGCATCCTCCATCGTCCATCCTTCATCCTCGATCCTCCATCATCTATCCTCATTCCTCCATCCTCCGTCCTCCATCCTACATCCTCCATCCTCCATCCTCAATGATCCATCATCATCATCATCA